AGGACAACACCCTGGGCCAAAGGCAGGCACTAAGCCGCTGAGCCACCTAGGGATCCTGAAGATAAAATTCTTGGTCCATAACTTCTGTTGGTAGAATTCTTGAGGCATTTCACATTGATTTGGGGAATTTAAAGTTTTGAAAGAGAAAGTTGAAGATATGTTTTTTTAGAAAAAAATCCTATTGTAGATAATCTAATTTTTAAGTCTTGATATCAGAGGCTTTTTTTTATGTGTGAAATTCAAGACTAATTATTCATGCATATAGTAAGTATTTATTGACCACCTACTGTGTGTTTGACATTATTTTAGGCATTGGGAATTCAGTAGTGAATGAGACATAAATCCCTTCCCTCCTGATAACTGGCAAGGCATGATATAAATGTTATTGTTTTTCACGAAATTTTCCTAGTACTCTGAGAGTTTTTGGACCTTCAAATTTTGGTCCATTTGATGTAGTTTGAAGTGGTGGTGGGGTTCAGAGCCGACAGTGGTTTCTTTTCTTTTTTTTTTTTTTAAGATTTTAAAAAATTTATTCATGAGAGACAGAGAGAGAGGCAGAGACACAGGCAGAGGGAGAAGCAGGCTCCATGCAGGGAGCCCAACGTGGGACTCGATCCCGGGTCTCCAGAATCACATCCTGGGCTGAAGGCAGGGGCTAAACTGTTGAGCCACCGGGGCTGCCTCGTCAAAGGTTTTATTAAAGCATGAGAACAGGACCTGTGGGCACAAAGAGCTGCATTAGGATTGTGACAGGTGATTAATTATATACTTTCAAGTTGGGAGGGGGTAGGGATCGCACAGGCCTCCAAGGTATTTTGGAAACAAGGATCCCAGGATCCTGAGGGGACTAATTATTGTTAGGAGAAGGTTATTTATTATTATCTGGTAAACTCTAAGTCATGAGACCCTTCAGATGTTTATCAGTGGGCCATATGCTTGGAGCATGATTGCTAACATGTGTCTTGGTGGGGTCGAGATAGAAGAAGTTTCCAAAGGAATTTATATGTTAAAGTAGACTCATAGGATGTGGGGAGGGGGAAGGGTCAGGCTAAAATTGTCTTTTGCCCTTAGCAAAGTGTCAGCATCCAGGCAGCTAGCCTCTCAGAGGAAGGTCACTCTGCCTGTTTCAAGGATTTGTCAGTGGCTCTAGACAGTAAGGAAATTTATTTATGTATTTATTTCTTTTTGTTTTTTTTTTAAATTTTCTTATTGGAGTTTGATTTGCCAACATATAGTATAATACCCAGTGCTCATCTCAAGTGTCCCACTCAGTGCCTGTCACCCAGTCACCCTATCCCCCCACCCACCTCCCCTTCCACTACCCCCTGTTCATTTCCCAGAGTTACAAGTCTCTCATGCTGTGTCATCCTCTCTGATTTTTCCCACTCATTTTCTCTCCTTTCCCCTATAATCCCTTTCACTATTTTTTATATTCCCCATATGAGTGAAACCATATAATGATTGTGGCAGTAAGGAAATTTAATTCTTTCTTTTGCCTTTGTTTCCCACATCACATTTACACATTAGAAATAGTTTCTTTCATGCAATCTCTGATTATTGCTTTTTTATTTCATTTGGTGTTTTGCCTCATCAAATACTCCTACGTAGAATTCCTTGTTTGTTGGCGCTGGTTTTCACTCTCTCCCTTTTTATATACCTGCCTTTTCCCTCTGCCTTCTGTGAGAGTGGAACAGGTTTGTTCATACAGGCATTTATTCATATGTTCATCAACCTTTCTGACCTTCACTATTTCTAATACATGTTATATTTTGTTGTTGCGCTTACATTTTGTTTTCTTGTCTCATCTAGTTCCTTTTTTTTTTAAGTAAGCTCTAGGCCCAGTGTGGGGCTTGAACTCATGACCCCAAGATCAAGAGTCACATGCTCTACGAATTAAGCCAGCCAGTCACCCCTCATCTAGTTCCCTTTTTATTTCTGCCCTTCTCAACTAGTTTCCTCTCTGCTCTTGCATTCTCTTATTAACTCATCCTTTATCTGTTTTAATCCATCTTTAAAATTTTTTACTGAAAGTACAAAACAGATGTTGCCTAATTTTACTATTACTTTGCTCAATATTTTTTTTTCAAAAGAAAATCATTCTTTACCTCTTAAGCAGTCTTCTTGGTAGAATCATTTCATAGGCTCGCTCTTCCTTCCTTTTCTTTTTCGTTTCTTTTTTTTTTTTTTTTTTTTTTTTTGCTTTTAGGTTACTTATTGTTAGAAGTTAGAAGTTTTATCTAGGTCTGATATTTCTCTCATAATAAATAGATGACATTCTCTTTGATATTACTTTTTATTGGATGTTGGATGATATTAGTGTGCTTATCTCAGATCTCATCTTGAAGGATTTACTGTTGATTGGTTAATCCAGCATCCCTCTGTCCTTTCTCTTCCTGTCTTTCCAGGGGCAGCTAGTGGTAGGAAAGCTTACTGCTCTAAGTTTTATTTCTGAACGCTTTTTTTTTTTTTAAGTAGGCTCCACACCCAGTGTGGAGCCCAACATGGGGCATGAACTCACAACCCTGAGATCAAGACCTGAGCCAATATCAAGAGTCAGACACTTAACTGACTGAGCTGCCCAGGTGGCCCCTATTTCTGAGTACTTGGCTATCTTTTTATTTTTTAAGATTTATTTATTTATTTATGAGAGGGGGGGTGGCAGAGACACAGGCAGAGGGAGAAGCAGGCTCCATGCCTGGAGCCCGATGCAGGACTCGATCCAGGGACTCCAGGATCGTGCACCTGGGCCAAAGGCAGGCGCCAAACCGCTGAGCCACGCAGGGATCCCTTGGCTATCTTTTTTAAAAAATGATTCATTTATTTAAAAGAGAGAGAAAGAACAAAAGAGAGTGGGGGGGAGGGGCAGTGGGGGAGAATCTTCAAGCAGACTCCTGCTGAGCACAGTGCCCATCTCAGGGCTGGATCTCACCATCCATGAGATTGTGACCTGAGCAGAAACCAAGAGTCTGATGCTTAACCAACTGAGCCACGCAGGCGCCCCTGAGCACTTTACTATCTTGATTAATGGAACTGTTGCTCTTGGACAGCATTTTGTTGTCTGACTTCATTATGATGCTATGGTCTACAGGGGCAGGAGAGAACCAAGTCCCTCCTACTATTCCAGGCTCTCTGTCAGGTGGAACCTCTAGGTCCCTAAGCCTCCCCATAGAAGTCCCTCCATGTTACTGATCTCCAGTGTGCTAAGGAGGGACTAGGGACTATTATTACTAGTAGTAGTAGTAGTAGTAGTAGTAGTAGTAGTAGTAGTAATTAGTGGTATATATACTTTTTGCCAATCAGCATTGCCTAGTGAATTAAAACAAAATACGGATGTGTATTTGTTCCTCAGCTGATATGCAGATAGGATTGAGAACTACCAGGCTAAATTGTTCCAGACGGCAAATTCATAACTTATTTGTCCTGTTCCCCCCTTACTTTTATCCCCCACCCTGTGGGCATCAGTCCTTCCCTTCCTCGAAGGGTTTGAGACCGTGCTCCTTTGCTTGAGGGCATGTTGTACCTAGTACCTCTCAGAGTCTTTCTGCTGTCTGGTCTTTTCCACCTGGTGCTGAGCAGAAACATCTTCATGTCTATGCCTTGTGTATGTCAAGCACAACCCTCCCTTCCAGCCCAGATGCAAATTTTGACCCATTTTTACTATACTCAGTCACTGCTATCAGGATTGGGGGTGGGACATGGGAACCAGATGCTTTTGTTCACATTGCCATCTTCCCCTTAGTTCAGACTATCATGGCTGTGAGTGAGAAAATCGTACTGAGATGGGAGCTGTGTTCTGCTTTATGTCTGTTTGTGAACAGACGTGCTGTTTGTGATATTTCTTACATACATGTATTTTGTGTACCTCAAAATCATATGCAAACACCTAGCAATTTTTGTCTCTGGTGTCCTCATGAAAACTTTAAAAGTTGTGAAGATAAAGGGGAGTACGTGTGATAGGTCTTCAAGTTCTCTCTCATAACCATATTTTTACATTTTTCCAATTATAGCCAAGAATATTTTCTCCTGGCAAATTGCCTTATGTTGCGTGTGTGAGAGAGATTTAATATGCTGGGTAGTTTTGATTTTGAATAGAATAATTAGTTGTCATTCTTACTTCTCGGATAGCAGAGACTCCCATGGGAGAAATGTAGTTTTCTAGGTAGTTATAAGAAGTTTCTCTCTAGTAGACATTTAGACTTTTTCTCATTTGTGGAAAATGTACCAGCTTGTTGGGAAATTTGCTCTTCCTTGAAAATTAGCCATGGTATTCCTGGACACTGTGAGTTTTTTACTCGTTAGTGACAAGCCTCTTCTTTCTTTATGACTGCGTGAAGAAAATAGAACATTGAAGGAATAAATTTGACTGCAGGAGGTATGAAATGACTTTTTCAAAAAACTCTAGTGGTTGAAATAAATCTACTCCTTGATTATTTTACTGCCTTCGTCCTTATCTGAATAGCTCTTGAAATACTATCTGCTGTGAAGCAAACATCTTGCCTGGCCATCTCGTTTCTGTTCATCTTCTAGGTTGGAAACACCAACTCTGAGAATTCTCACCCATGGTTTTTGACTTTTATTCACCCTTTCCTTATTTTCAGACTTTCTAGCTATTGACATGTTTACCTTCAGGACATTTAACCTATGGAGTCTCCAAGTACAAGAGATAGGATGAACTTTCTAAAAATCTCAAAGCTCTATTAGTTTATGGTAATTTTAAAATATGAATTATTTCTTCTGATTCTCTCAATAACCCGTGAGGTGGGAAAAGCAAACCAGATTACTTGATTTCACAAAGAAGGACACTGAGGTTCATAATGGTTAAGTGACTTGTTTAAGGCCATGCAATTAACAAGTCGTAAAGCCCAGACTTGAAGCCAAATGAGATGCTCTTTCATCTTAAACACCCTGTTGGCTCTTGTAAGACGTCAGAGTTTCAATTGTACTTAGCCAAGATATGTTTTGCTAAGATATGCAACCTTTCTGTATGTTTTATCTTTTAGAAGATGATCTCCTAGAAGATTATGGAATTTTCAATATTTCAGTATTCAGTGAAGCTTGTTTGAAACTGAACAGGCACCCCTGGAAAGTTGGATCAGAACAAATGTATCAAGTAAGAAGATCTCTCATGTTATCTGTCAAAGTCTTGTGTCACTTAAAAATTTGAGTGCTCTCCAAGTGAGGATCCAAAGTATTTACACTAATGGAATGAACTTCTAGGCAGCTTGACTTTCATCTCTAGAGATGGATGTGTGGTGGATGGTCAGTGGGGGACTAAGTTGGAAGGTATTCTAGAGAGTAACTTGCTATTAGTTTCCCTGTGTGATACTTCACGTATGTGGATTATATTTTATTTTAGTGCATTTTATAATTATAGCTTATTTTGTCATCAACTTTACATTTGCTTCTAGATTTTTCAGAAACTCATTGCATGGCTACTTGTCCTCATTTAACAACTTCTTAAAAGTCACACATCTCAAGTAAAATTACTAGTAAATTCAGGCAGGAGCTGAAATTCATTATTTTTTGTCACTTTTAGTGCCTAGCAAACATTTGGCAAAGTAGATTAAGCATTAAATTAAAGTTCATTCATTCATTAGCCATTTACCAAAAGAATATCGTGTATTAGGATGTGTAACTTTCAATTTCCACTAATATAAACACACAAGTAAATGACAATGTGGTATGAGTGCTTTGATGAAAGGTAAATAAATGGGGGATTGTGTGTATGTCCAGGGAGGTTTTTTTGTTGTTTTTGTTTTTGTTTTAGCAAGAAGCAAAGACTGTGCTATATCATAGAGAATGAATAGGAATCAACCAGATAAAAGATGTGGGGTGATGGTAAAGAAGGGCCCTGTGGACAAGGAGAGGAGCATATTGAATATTAGGAAATGTGGTTCTCTGAGGGAAAAAGGAAGGATGGGAGAAGAGGAAGAGATGAGGCAAAAACCTAAGTAGTGACTAGATCGTGAAAAGCCCTGTAATTGTGAGTTTGCATCTTATTTTGATATTTCTGTGGAGCCCCTGAAGGATTTTAAGCAGATGAGCAAAATATTCAAATTTTCATATTTAGAAGGAACACAGGAGCTAGAAACATGTTCCAGTACCCAAATAAAGTTAATATTAATATAAGATACAGATGATTATAAATAATGAGTATGGAAATAAATGGCCCTGGGACAGTTGGTTAGCTACTTGGTTAAGAAAATGATTCTTAGCATTTACACTAAAATGATTAAAGAGTTAAGTTGGAAAAAAGTTTTAAATATGCTAAACAAAGATTTATTTGTTAAAAAAAGATTTTTAAAATATGTTAAATGATATTCATTTAAGTAAAAGATTAAAAAAAGATTTAAAAAAGATTTTAAAAGTTTTTAAATATGTTAAACAAAGATTCATTTAAGTAACATGGAAAACACTTAACAAATTCATGGAAAACATTAACATTCAAGGCAGTTTGCAAAGGAGGAGATATATATGTATATATGTGTGTATATATATATAATTTGTTATATATATATACATATATATATAATTTGTTATATATATATATATGGCCCAAACACATATGAACATGTTCTACCTCACTAGTAAGAAAAAATTACATGACGAGATACTATGATTCTTCTATAAACATAGAGTACTGTTTTTTTAGAGAGTGCATGTGTGAGGTTGGGGGGAAGGGCAGAGGAGGAGAGAGAGAGAGAATCTTAGGCAGACTCTATGCATAGTATGGAGCCCAACGCAGGACTCGATCTCACCACCCTGAGATGGTGACCTGAGCCGAAATCAAGAGTCAGACACGTAACTGCCTGAGCCACCCAGGTGCCCCAAGCATAGAGTACCGTTACACAGGCTGCTGGCCACTTAAACTGGCAAGACTTTTGTGGAAGAGTTATATCTTAGCCTCTATCAGTAAGTTTTTGGACATGGGCTGTCATTAACTAAGCAGGTGTATACAGAAAGGTTACGCTGTTCCCTGAAGCTTCGTTTACGGTAGGGGAAATTGGAAACAACTGAAACGTTCAACAGCAGACATCTGGCTAAATAAACAATTAAACATAGATTGGAGAGAACCCCACACGGATGTGAAGTACGTTCTGTATCACACTGAATAGTGTTTGCTACCGTTGGCCAGTATTCCCATTGAAATGGTCTCTGTTTCTCCTATTATTTTGACCCCTCTCTGTCTCTGCTTCCTAGGGCTCCCTTCCTCTGCCTGTCCCTTAAATCTGATTACCCTCAGGTTGTGTGTTGCGCATTCTTTCGTCATTCTGTACCCTTCTCTGGGCCATCTTACCCAGTCTCTTTACTTCCTTCACTGTCTCCAAGCTGGTAAGTCCTAAATCTGTTTCTCCAGGCCTACCCTCTTCTATAAGCTCTCGGCCCCATACTCTCTGATTAACTTTTTGTGTTCTCTTTTGCACTGGGTCTTCACATATGTGACTCTCCTACAAGCAGCGCCCTTCCTTCCCTTACCCTACTCTGTATATATATCTATTTGATAAAATGAATTAATGACAGAGAAAAAACTTCACAATGTATTATTAAATAAAATGACTTTACTATAAAATCATGCATACAGGGTGATTTCCAGTTTGTAACCAGAAAGTTATTTTTTGTTTGTAGTCTAAATCACGTGGAGTTTAGGATGAGACTGAATTTGTAGAAATGCAGCCTGTGAGGTTTTAAAAACATTTTTATTATTTTTTAATTATTATTATTATTTTTAAAAGATTTTATTTATTTATTCATGAGAGATGCAGAGAGAGAGAGAGAGAGAGAGAGAGAGAGAGAGAGAGAGAGAGAGAGAGAGGCAGGCACAGACACAGGCAGAGGGAGAAGCAGGCTCCATTCCATGCTGTGAGCCCGAAGCAGGACTCAATCCTGGGTCCCCAGGACCACACCCTGGGCTGAAGTGGCGCTAAACCGCCGAGCCACCTGGGCTGCCCAAAGATTTTTATTATTAATATTTTATTTATTTATTTATGAGAGACATACAGAGTGAGGCAGAAACACAGGCAGAGGGAGAAGCAGTTGCCCGATGTGGGACTCGATCCTACGACCTTGGTTGGGATCACAACCTGAGCCGAAGGCAGATGCTCAACCATTGAGCCACCCAGGTGCCCCCAAAGAGATCTCCATTCTGCTTTAGATCTGCTAACCAACAGAAAATTTAATGCACCATTTCTTTTAATCTCATGACAGTTTACAGTTCTGGGTCAAAGGTGGTATCTGAGTAATTTTTATCATGCCGCATCATTTAACTTCACAACGAGGGAACAAGCTCCAGTGGTGTGTTTAGACCTGTACCCAGCAACTGATTACACAGTGAATGTCACTCTCCTGGGATCTTCTGAGCACCACTCAGTGCAAATAATGATGGCAACCGCACCAGCAGGTGGGTGTATGTGTCTCTCTGTTTTGTCTCTCAGGACAAGTGAAGTACATGAATTGCACAATGTGGGGGAGCGTAAAGAATGCTCATCCGGGAGTCAAGAGACTTGTGTTCTCATTCTAACGACTACCAACTTTTTTCTGGGCTTCAGGGTGCCTGAATCTAACTGCCTATCTCCTTCCCCACAAGGGTTCTGGTCACGGAGGGTATAGACCAAGGATGGAGTGTTTTATTCAGGGCTTCCTGATAGTGACGATTGAAAAATGCTCTAGCCCCAGCTTTAAGATAGCTGAGCCCCAAGGGTGGTCATTTTGGACAACTAGAACCAAGTTCCTGGAGATCAGTCATGTGAGCCACACTGTGCTGGCAGTGGTGAGAGAAAGAGGCCTTATGACTGGACCACGTTTGAGCACATGACCCTGACATAGAGACCCAGGGACCTAATGAAGATCAGGCTTCCTAGAAAGGGCCTGAGGTCCTGTGAGCAAGCCAGATAGACGCCAAGCTGTGCCAACTCTACAGCTCTCTCTAGGAGAAAGGGACACAGGGTTTTGTCGTTGTTGTTCTTTAATTCATTGGATTTAACAGACAAATTTATGGGCAACTGGGTGGAGGGGTTGCCACCTTTAAAGAAAGGCAGTTGGATAGGTTGGGTCCTGCTCCTGTCTTCCTGATGCTTCTCTCCTATATTCACCATTGTTCTGGGAAAAGAAAAGCAGAATTATGTAATGGTTGCCCAACACTGTGAGCTTACAAAATGTCACTAAATTGTACACTCGAAAGTGGTTTATTTGATGTTGTGTGAACTTCACCTCCGTTTTTAAAAACAGCCAATGAATTAGCTATGTTCTTCTTGCTCCCAGGCCTCAGGTACCTTGTGACTGATCTTACATGACATAATACAAGTGAAATGTTTAGAATGGTTCCCAGCACATAATAATGATGATGACAATAATAGCTCTGTTTATCAAGTACTAATCAAGTGCCAGGCACTGTTTAAAGTGCCCTCCTTGGGTTAGTATCCGAAATACATAAAGAACCTATAAAACGCAACACCCAAACCCCAAACGATCCAATTAAAAATGACAGAAGAAAAAAAAATGACAGAAGACACAAACAGACATTTTTCCAAAGAAGACATACAGATGGCCAACAGACACATGGAAGGAGGCTCAACATCATTCATCATCAGGGAGATGCAAATCAGAACCACAATGAGATACCACCTCATACTGTCAGAATGGCTAAAACCAACAACACAAAAAACAAGTGTTGGAGAGGATGTAGAGAAAGGGGAAACTTCTTGCACTGTTGGTGGGAATACAAACTAGTGCAGCCAGTTTGGAAAACAGCTTGGAGGTCCTCACAAAGTTAAAAATGGAACTACCCTACAATCCAGCAATTGCACTACTAGGTATTTACCCCAAGAATACAGAAACACTAATTCAAAGGGATTACATGGACCCCGATGTTTTTTAGCTTTATTTACAATAGTCAAATTATGAAAGTAGCCCAAGTGTCCATCGATTTGAGGAATAGATAAGATATGGCATATATATATGACGGGGTACCCCCAGCTGAAACTAATATTACACTGTATGTTAACTAACTGGAATTCAAATAAACTTTAAAAAAGAAAAAAAATTGGAGTGAGCAAGAAACAAAACAAAAGGGATGCCTGAGTGGCTCAGTGGTTAAATGTCTGCCTTCAGCTCAGGGCACGATCCTGGAGTCCTGGGATCGGGTCCCGCATCGGGCTCCCTGCGAGGAGCCTGCCCCTCCCTCTGCCTCACAGTGTCTCTGCCTTTCTTTCTGTGCCTCTCATGAATAAAATAAAATCTTTAAAACAAAACAAAAAACACGGCAAAAAACACAACAGTGTGTCCTCTTTGAATCAACTCAAACCTACCAAACCTTCTGAGGAAGGCGTTGTCATTATTACCATTTTATAGACAAAGATCATGAGGCACAGAGAAATTAGACAGTTTGCCTAGGATCACACACACCGAGTGATTTAAACACAGGCTGATTTGATCCCAGCTCCACGGCCCTCATCCTTAATGTACTTCTGCTGCTTCTCACTAGTTAGTTATTCAAAAGAAAGAAGCAAAATTATGTTCTCAGAATCCAGTGCATAATCAGTCCAGACCCACCTTGCTTTTGTCAACCTTGCACCCTGAGCAAAAACGTCAAATGCCATGGATGCATAAATGCATGTTTATTTCTTTCCTACTCTATGTCAAGCAGGGTTTGATAGCTGACATTGTGGCAGCAATAAAACAGTCCCAGCTGTCATGGAGTTGGAAGTTGTTGGAGGGGTCATGGTGGAGAGAGTTAAATAAATCACATGTTAGGTGGGGAATAAAGCAAGGCAAAATGGGGTGACAATTGATGGTCAGGCAAGGGCTTTATTTTATATATATATTTATTACATATAAATATATATGTATTTTTATATTTATTTTTATTAAAATTCATTTAATTAACATATAGTATATTGTTAGTTTCAGAGGTGGAATTTAGTGATTCATCAGTTGCATATAACACCCAGTGCTTATCACATCACGTGCCCTCCTTAATGCCCATCACCCAGTTGCCCCATCCCACCATTCATCTTCCCTCCAGTAACCCTTAGTTTCCTATAGTTAAGAGTCTCTTACATTTTGTCTCTCTTCTGATTTCTTTGTTTTCATGTACTTTTATTTTTTTACTTTTTATTCTTTATTATTTAAAAAATATTTTATTGAAATTCAATTTGCCAACATATAGTGTAACAGTCAGTGCTCATCTCACCATGTGCCCTCCTTAATGCCCATTACCCAGGTACTCCATCCCCCATCCACCTCACCTTCCACAACCCTTTGTTTCCCAGAGTTAGGAATCTCTCATGGTTTGTCTTCCTCTCTAATTTTTTCCCACTCAGTTCCCCTCCTTTCCCTTATAGTTCCTTTCCCTATTTCACATATGGGTGAAACCATATGATTATCCTTCTCCGATTGACTTATTTCACTCAGCATAATACCCTCCAGTTCCATCCACGTCAAAGCAAATGGTGGGTGTTTGTCCTTTCTGGTGGCTGAGTAATATTCCATTATATACACACCACATCTTTATCCATTCATTTGTCAAAGGACATCATGGCTTCTTCCCACAGTTTGGCTATGGTGGACATTGCTGTCATGAATTGGAGCGTAAGTGTCCTGTCGTGTCACTACATCTGTATCTTTGGAGGTAAATACCCAGTAGTGTAATTGCTGGGTCATAGGGTAGCTCTATTTTTAACCTCTTAAGGAACCTCCACACTGTTTTCCAGAGGGTTCCCCCTTCTCCACATCCTCTCCAACATTTGTTGTTTCCTGTCTTGTTAATTTTCACCATTCTCACTGGTGTGAGGTGGCATCTCTTTGTGGTTTTGATTTGTATTTCCCTGATGGCAAGTGATACGGAGCATTTTTTCATGTGTCTGTTGGCCATGTGTATAGCGTCTTTGGAGAAATGTCTGTTCATGTCTTCTGCCCATTTCATGACTGGATTGTTTGTTTCTTGGGTGTTGGGTTTGATAAGTTCTTTATAGATCTTGGATACTAGCCCTTTATCTGATAGGTCATTTGCAAATGTCTTCTCCCATTCTGTAGGTTGTCTTTTACTCTTGTCAATGTTTCCTTTGTTGTGCAGAAGATTTTTATCTTGATAAAGTCCCAGGAGTTCATTTTTGATTTTGCTTCCTTTGCCTTCATAGATGTGTCTTGCAAGAAGTTGCTGTGGCCAAGTTCAAAAAGGTTGTTGCCTATGTTTTCCTCTAACATTTTGATGGCTTCTTGTCTCATATTTAGATCTTTCAACCATTTTGAGTTTATCTTTGTGTCTGGTGTAAGAGAATGGTCCAGTTTCATTCTTCTGCATGTGGCTGTCTAATTTTCCCAACACCATTTATTGAAGACTTTTTTCCAGTGGATATTCTTTCCTGCTTTGTCAAAGATGACCATATAGAGTTGAGTTGAGAATCCATTTCTGGGTTCTCCATTCTGTTCCATTGATCTATGCGTCTGTTTTTGTGCCAGTACCATGTTGTCTTGATGATCACAGCTTTATAATACAGCTTGAAGTCAGGAATTATGATGCCACAGCTTTGTTTTTCTTTTTCAACATTCCTCTGGATATTTGGGGTCTTTTCTAGTTCCATACAAATCTTAGGATTATTTGTTCCAACTCTGTGAAGAAGGTCCATGGTATTTTGATAGGGATTGCATTGAATGTGTAAATTGATCTGGGTAGCTAGACATTTTCACAATATTTATTCTTCCAATCCATGAGCATGGAATGTTTTTCCATCTCTTTGTGTCTTCCTTGATTTCTTTCATAAGTGTCCTGTAGTTTTTAGAGTACAAATCCTTTACCCCTTTGGTTAGATTTATTCCTAAGTATCTTATGGTTTTGGGTGCAATTGTAAATGGGATTGATTCCTTGATTTCTCTTTCTTCAGTCTCATTGTTAGTGTATAGAAATACAGCTGATTCCTGTGCATTGATTTTTGGATCCTGCCACAATGCTGAATTCCTGTATGAGTTCTGGCAATTTTGGGGTGGAGTGTTTTGGGTTTTCCCTATACAGTATCATGTCATCTGCAAAGAGGGAGAGCTTGACTTCTTCTTTGCCAATTTGAATGCCTTTTATTTCTTTTTGTTATCTGATTAGTGAGGCTAGGGATTCTAGTACTATGTTGAACAAAAGTGGTGAGAGTGGGCATCCCTGTCATGCTTCTGATCTTAGGGGAAAAGCTCTCAGTTTTTCCCCAGTGAGAATGATATTCACTGTGGGCTTTTCATAGCTGGCTTTTATGGTACTGAGAGGTTCCCTCTATCCTTACACTTCGAAGAGTTTTCATCAGGATTGGATGCTGTATTTTGTCCAATGCTTTCTCTGCATCTGTTGAGAGGATCATATGGTTCTTGTCTTTTCTTTTATTGACGTGATCCATCATGTCGATTGTTTTACGAATGTTG